ATTTCATACTTCACCCACCATGATTGCTCTGATTTCTGCTGTAATTTTTTGTTTCTTGACTGCAGCTTCAGCCCAGAATTGCATTCGATCTCGCGATGGTCAGTTCACTGATAATGCCGGTGCCTACGTTTTTACGTGGTCAGTCCAGTCAAATTCTCAGTATGTTGACTGCAATGTCTCTGTGAATACAGCAGCTAACCTATGGGTTGCAGTTGGATTCTCTGAGGATCGAGACATGGTAAATATTATAAGTAATTTTATACGTTGGGTCAATTGTGGGCAAAATTAATTTGCTTCAACTATAAATTTTTTGTTCTCTCATTAGCCTGATACTGATGTCATTATTGGTGCTAATGATGGAACTAACCAGTTTGTACAAGACAGGTGAGGAGCATCTTCCATTGCTAAATGTGTATAATTATGATTATTTATAGGTGGAATGGTGCAAGCCGAACAGCTGGACCATCACTTGATCCTATGCAGAATATTATGAATATTTCAACAATGAGGGATGGTAATAGGCTTACCATAAGTTTCACCAGACCAATTGTCAGTCCTGATACTAGTGGTAGAGATGAAAATCTTGATGTATGCCGTTATGTTCTTTGGGCTTTTGGAGGTACAACCACCTTTGTGAATGGCGATGTAACTGCTCTTGGGGGCCATTCTGATAAAGGTACCTTTCAGAATCAGCTTTGCTTGTGCACAAGTAAGTCAAACTATAAGGTTATACAAGGTATATGTGTTGAATTCTGTTTGCAGGTGGAGCAAGTGTCGGAGCTGTTGTTTCTTTGGCCATGATAATTGCAGCAGTACTCTTGGCTGCTGGGGGTAGTATCTTTTAATTTTTTCTGATATTTCAAGCCTGAAGCTGCTTCATCATGACTATGCTGCATGCATACAGAAACAATTAGTTTTCAGTTTAAGTTTTGTTTTAACAATAATACATCTGTCTGTAGCCGGCATTTTCAAATAAAAAATTAATAAATTTGAGTCGTTGAACATGTTAGTCTTTGTACTATGTGGTACATAATCATATGCAAGTTATGCATGCAAGCATGTGTGAGTTGACAGCAAAAATGGCTCCTACATTGCACTAGCACTATAAGCAGAAGCATATACTGCAGTGAGAAGGGGTGGGGATTCAAATAATTAATTATCGCATAAGTGGCTCACACGTAATTTTCCACGCCCACAATGCGTATTATAAATTAATGGCGCTGCAAAGAGATACGTTCACTCAGTCATCCAGCAACCATGCAAGGTCTATTAGTTTTAGCCTTTTTGACAGTTTTTTTTGTAGCAACCAATGCTTTGGTTAGCAACTGCACTTGTAAAGGGAATCTGTCTATGGGAACATATTTCGTGTCATGGATGATACGTGATAATAATCGTTCTCTTGTAGACTTCAATGTGTCTGTTAACACTGGTGCGGACACTTGGGTTGCTGTTGGCTTTTCAGAAGACAGATTTATGGTATGCATAAAACTTTAACTATTGTTGATTTTTCTATACTACACAGCCAATCACTGATGTTGCTATTGGAGCTGACAATGGGACATATAGTTTTGTTGAGGACAGGTTTGTGGAATACAAAAAATTGCTTGGTTTATTTATGTATTCTAGATGGAACAATGCTACTCGTCCTGCTGGACCAATATATGATACAGAACAAAATTTTATTGACACATCAACTAGTAGATATAATGATATGCTCACAATCTCCTTTACACGACCTATCGATAGTCCTGATGATACACAAGACCTTGACTTGACTCAGTGCCGATATGTCCTTTGGGCATATGGAGGGAATGTGGGCATGTTTCCTTCTATGATGAGTGATGAAGCTGCTTCTAGTTTGACACGACACACAATGCGTGGTGTCTTTTCTGAACAACTTTGCCTCTGTCCTGCAAGTCAGTCATGAGATATAGTTTTCTGTGCATGCAGCATGTTGACCAATTGATAATATATCTTTCTAGCTTATAATGCACTGCATGCTTTGTGCATGTAACTATACACATTTTTTTCATTATAGATGAGACATGTCCCGATGCAACACCAGCAACACCAGCAACATCACCAACACCAGCAACATCACCAACAGCAGGCACAGAAGCACCTACATCTAGTGCTTTCTCAGTTGCAAATTTTGCAATCATCACCTTTATTTTTATCTTAATTGCTGCAATTTTTTGAATTGCCTGACTGAATTGAAATTAACTTTAATACTGACATAGCTGCTAGATATTTATGGATTTTGTTTTGTATTTTTGTTGATTTTTTTTCATTAAAATAATAGATTTCATCATTTCAAACAAATACAATCTACAGTCTTAAATGCCTAGTATGGCACTTGTAGCCTTTTATGGCACCTGTAGGCTTTTATGGCCCTTGTACTTGTAGCCTTGTATGGCCCTGGCGCATGGCTCATCATGGTTTTGTATGTAGTATCTGTGGGCTCATGATTGATTGAAGACACGTATTTTGTTAATAACTGAATCACGCATGCTCAGTCCTAAAATATAAGCACGTGTGAACTGTGAAAGGTTTCTTTTCAGACAAGATGGGTCACACAAATGTATGGAATAGTCATCCTAAGAAATATGGACAAGGATCAAGGCAGTGGTATGATTATAAAGAGAGGGAAGATCTATTATAAATGTTGAATCTTTAATTTTAGGGTTAATTTTTTGGTTTGATAGTCAGTTTCTATTTGTGGGGAAGGGAGCCCTATATGCTTACTTAGCCTTACTATTTACTTATCCCAGTGAATATGCTGGTTTGTGTAGAGTTTTTAGACTCAAATTACCGATGCTGTAGCTTGTAATTTAATG